TCAAATAGATTTCATAAAATACATGCACAAAAGTGGGCAATCTTCTCCTTTTATATCATCTATCATTATATCAAACAAAAAGTGTGCCTGCTGTGGATTGGGAACCCAAATTTGTCAGAATTGAGTTGTAGTGTCAGAATAAATAGGTCTTCCTTTTAAGGCATTTTAAAATATGAATGATATAAATGTGCTGGACTTTCCAGCCAGGGCAGCACAGAAGAGTTAGAAATGAACAGCTGTGTCAAGGAGAGATGGAGGTCTGGAAGAGATGAGGCATGGGGATTCCTCCCGGAGCAGACAAGCACAATGGCAGTGGAGGAGAAAACGTAACAAGTGTAACTTGCCAAGAGCAGATGATTTAGAGTCACTGTGGCAAACAGACATTGAATTCCAAGGGGTATCTAGAGCAAAGGGTTTCTAAGACTCTTGGGTTGTAACAGATTGTCTTCAATTGCTTGATTTTATTGGACACAATTCCTGTCTACACCTGCAATATGGCATGTGCATGAGCATGTGCCTGCATATGTGTGCATGTGTACATTTTTCTTAAACTTTACTCAGCATGAAGAACAATACCAGACATCTTGGTCTAATTTAACAGTGGGCCATTTATTAGTCTGAAAAACTTTTCAGTGCAATAGAAAACTAAGCAATTACCCAGATAATGCACTATTTTAAGGTTTTCAAAAGAGTTTCTGTATAGTAAATTTATAAATGCTATGCATGTATACAATGAACACAATTTATAAGACTTTCTCTGCTACTGAGAAGAGTATTTTCACTTTCACAATAATAATTTAGCTAATTATTATTAAGTAATTAGATGTCTATATATTAGATGGCTATAAGATGTCTGACATTATTCTAAGTGTTCTACTGATGCAATCTCTTAATCCTGACAATAACCCTCTAAATTGATCCCATTATTATCTCCAGAGCACAGAAACATGAAGCATTGTATTCAATGTCAGCTAACTAGAAAATGGCAGAGTGACCATTCAATCTCAAGCAGCCTGGCACTGGAGTATGTAACTCTTACCACAACACAATACAACACCTCATTGGATCTAGTTAGAGAGGCACTGTTATGTCAATTTTCAGACAAGGAAATTGAGATACAATGGGGTTAAATAACTTCTAAGTTTCCTCTGCTAACATGTGATAGATGCTATGAGTCAAGCTAGTCTTTCTGATTCCAAGGTCCATGCTCATGACCAGTTATGAGCTCATAAAACCATTGCAGCCTCCTAAATACAGGACCACTGTGTAAAACGTAAGTTACTGTGATCATCAAATACAACAGAAGTGAAAGTGAACATGTTACATTAATGGCATGATCCACACAGTCCCACTGAGGTGGCTCACCCACAGGCAGGACCAGTATTTCCACAACACTAATCACAGCACAGAGGTCTTAGGCTAAACCTCCTATCTGGCCCGAGGTTACTACTGTCAACACTACAGTTTGCCTTTGTTTTCCCAATCTTTCCAAATCCACATAGCAGTTTCTCTGCCTCCAGGAGTGGCCACAAGCCTAGCCAGAAGGAAATTCAACCCAGAGACCCAAAAATGGATTTCAAAACAGGAATTACCCACCAGCCTGAGTCAGGAATTTCCATAAAAGTCTCTCATCCTGAGAGAGGGAGCTCAGTAGCACAAAGGAAGTAAGTGCCAGATCATAGACGACAAGGATTTGGTTGCACTGAAGGACTTTTCCTTCTAGATGAGCATTCTGGATTTCAGAGTAGCTGTTTCCTGCTGAGCTTAGATGGGCCTGGCCTCTGCCCCTACACAAATGAGTAGACGAATTTTGAACTCAAACATAAAAGCACAACAGCAGGCCACAGAGTGCACAACTCAGGCCTGCTGGGAGCCCCAGCCAGTTCATACACCATATGTGCCCTGCTTATCCATCTGGTTTAGTGGAAAGAGCCAAACAAAACAGTAAAAACAAATGGCAGAATAGAGGCTTTCACCCTGGCCTTCAAGTGCACACTGACCTCACCTTGCAGAGTTTTTCTATAAATAATTTGGGTTGTGAGTAGTTTTATATAAAGTATAAAAGGCCAAGATATGCAAAGCTTTAAAAAGCGAGGAAATTTTCCAAAATTAAAGCTAATTGCCTTATATCAATCCTGCCACTTACCAATATTACCCCATAAAGCAAAACTTGAAATTCAGTGAAACCATGGAAACATGTAGTTTAACCACATGTGAATCCAAACCAAAAACAATCACAAATTATACAAGCACCACAAAATCCTTTGCATTATTAAATCATTTCATAGACTGAGGATTGGGCTCACTTATTTAAGCAAAAGTTAAAACAGTACATTTCAATATGAAAGAATCTACAATATCTAAAAGGTCATTCTACAACTTAATCAGCAAAGGCTGACACTTGCCATTGAATACACACACACACACACACACACACACACACACACACGTATATTTCTACACCTTGGGCTATGTCTAGTTTCTCAGACTTAGAACTACTGGCATTTTGGACTAGATAAGTCTTTGTTGTAGAAGGCCTTCTGTGCATTTTTGACATTCAGCCAAATTGTACAGAGAGATCTGATAAGATCGATAGGAGAAGGGAAAGGCCACAGGAGGAGGTTGCCCAAGGCAATGGTAAACAAGCTAGTGTGATGTGTGTGACAGACCTACCTACCCCTGGGCAGAGACGCGGCAGGGGACACTGAAGATCTGCCAGTTTAGGACAGAATTGGCTTAAAAGACGGATGCTTCCTGAGCACATGGATTTATAGGCTAGAAGATTTAAACAGTAGGGAGGCTGAGACTTTCTCTTCCTTGGAGCCACCTGGATGATTGTGCTGCAGCTACCTGAGTTTCTGAAAGGATGGTATTTAAATACCATGGGGGAAGGAAGTCCAGGTGTAGCCTAGGACTAGACTGTCAAAGGCTCCTTCACGACTTAATGAGATAAACAAAATCCCCCTTTTACTCTTCAAAACTCACTACTTTAACCCAGGACCATTTTTATAAACCTTTTATAATATTGCTTTACTTAAATCATTATAGTCTATTTTTTTTCCAGATGTTACATTTCTTTTAAGTAACTGCAAAGATGTCAAGTCAAATTATTTCTTTCTTTCCGAAAGTGAAAAGCTTCAGTGAGCAAAGACACACTTTTATGGCAAATTGGTTAACAAAGTGCTGTCTCATGAGAACTGGACCTTAAACTAGAAAAGTGACTCTTAATGTTTAACATCTCCTTCAGCAATCTGAATTCTTCCTGTACTCACTGAAGTTTTTCCTGGTCTAACCACAACTCACCACACCATACATGTCAGGATTGCTTCTTTACTACCCTACATAATTAAAAACAAAAACAAGAAAACAAACAAGCAAAACAATGTACTCCACTAAAAGAATCCAAGTTAGTCCTATCATTACGTGTCATTATTTTACTTCAATCTCAGTGATTACATTTTCTTGCCATTTATCCAGACTGTAGTGGCACTCAATGTTGGTTTTCAAAAAAAATTCTTATATTAATGTAAATAAAGTGCTTAAAACCATTGCTGAAATAGTGCCTTATACAGTAAGAGTTAGGTAAGTGCTTACTATTACTCCCAAACCTGGGACTCCACTTTCAAGTAAATCCAAATCTATGGAAATCAGGTGCTGTTATCAGTGTCCCTGGGCTCAGGCACTGGTAATTTTTCGAAGTTCTCTCTCTATTCAATCCCAATGAGCCACCAGGGTTGAGAAACACTCAGATTTAACCAAGTGCCAACAAAACACATTTGTGGCTTAAGTCTCAGAAAAGCTGACCAATTTTATGTCCAATTGACAAAAAAAAAAATATGTACAATTTGCCAGGCACTATGCATGTTACAGAGGATATAAAATAAGTAAGACAACCTCTACCCTCAAGCAACTAGCAATCATTAGATGAAATAAGCCATAATGAATCATGATATTAACTAAAGGCGTGAGTCAAACAGAGAAAGAATTAGCCAATTCTACTGGGATAAAGCAAGGAAAGCTCCCAGAGACAGAGAAACTTAAACTGACCCTTAAGAAATGAATGGGATTGTTGGGTGGAAAAGGTAGGGAAAGACACACTAGACAGAAAGGTAATAGTGATACAGAGAGATCTGATCAGATTGCTGGGGAAGAGTAGGAAGGCACCACAGGAGGATGGTGCCTGAGGCAATGGTAAACAGTCCAGGACAGGATTGGCTGAGAAGCTGAATGCCTCCAGAGCACATGGAATTATGGGCCAGAAGATTTAAACAGAAGAAAAGGAGAGACTGGCTCTCTTTTTCTTCTTCAAGGGTACCTGCATGATGCTGCAGCCACCTGCACTCCCCAAAGGCCATTATTTTCTGTAATGGGAGAAGAAGCTCCGAGCCCAGCCTAGAATTGGTCTGGCCTGGCAGAGGGTAGCAGGGTTATTTTACTTTGAGCATTCTAGAGGGACAGGCTCTGAGGCAGAAGTCTGCCATTCTTGCAAAATTATAGAGCTTTTGTATCTTACATTGTTTTAGTTTGTAAACTAATCTTATAAAAATAAGGTAAGCAAAAACAAGCAAGGAGAATGATAGGGAAACTCAAGAATTAAAGATTTTAGCCTTAATTGATAGGCTTAAGTGACTAACGAATGCATGTGGAGAGCTGTGATTCCAAAATTGTGTAGCTTTTGACTAAAGACTCCTTTACTTTTTCGCCAAACCTCTGACTCCACAATTTTGCCTAGAGGCTGGCAGCAAGCAGCAGGACCAGACTTGCTGTTCAGTAACAACAGCATAAGTGCCCAAGGACTTCTGAAGAAGTAAAAGAGTTATGGTAGACATGCTCAGGGTGAAGCTAAACAAACTGTAAAGGTCTATAAAAGCAGGACAAAAAATTGTGACTTTTCCCTGTAGGCAAAAGGAATCCAAGGAGGCATTTTTAAAAAGTGAGCAACATGATTACATCTATAACCTAGATCTCTCTGTCTTCATATATTAAGAGCATCTACAGACCCACTCATTAGACGGGGGCTCTCACATGGTCATGCTGAGATGTTTAGTTGAAACCAGCTTCTTTATTGTGCCTTCACCCAGTTCTCCTGAGGAATAAAGACAAGATATTTTAGCCCTGGCTGGTGTAGCTCAGTGGATTGTGTGCAGGCTGCGAACCAAAGCATTGCAGGTTCAATTCCCAGTCAGGGCACATACCTGGGTTGCAGGCCATCACCCCCAGCAACCGCACATTGATGTTTCTCTCTCTCTCTCTCTCTTTCTCCCTCCCTTCTCTCCCTAAAAATAAATAAATAAAATATTTAAAAAAAGACAAGATATTTTAGAGCTTAAACTTTTAATCATAAGCTAAACAAGCTAAATAAGTTATTCTACTTTATAAAGTGTGGCCATCACAGATGAAAGAAAATAACTCCAAAAGCAGCTATATTTGAGAAGTGATATCTTGAGATCATATGTTTTTTAGCAGAATCTTTAAGAGAAGTTTTCTTTCAAAATAAGACTATACATAAGAATTGCTTTATTTAAGGTTGAGGGTGAAAGTATCACATAAATGATAACAGCAGCAAATATTTATTGAAGACTTAGTGTGTGATTACTACTGGGCTTACTGTCATCGCTGTACGTCAGCATTATTTTTAAAGTCTATTTTACAGATGATGAAACTGAGGATTAATACTATCAAATAAGTGTCAAAAACTGTCAAAGATCTGATATGTTTATCCTACTTGAAAGCTGATAAGTTAGCCTGTCACAATTTTAGCAATACTTGCAGAGAACACTTGATTCCTGGGTCAGAAACGAAAGGCTATTACTCACAGAAGCTTTTCTTTTGCCGATTTTTTGAACCCCAAGTCCCATAAGCTACACAAGAGGGTCAGGTAACACCTGGATACGCAATAGATTGTGTCACAGCAACTTTATAAGGTGTTACAGGAATTTTTCTAATGGACACCAAGTATGCCTACCTTTGCTCTGAAAGGAGATACTATCTCTTCTTCAAAGGTTATTCACTACACAAACATACTTGAAAGAATATCTGAAACAAAGATAGTCAAGTAGTCTATCTACTTGAAAAATATGAAGACACACAAGAGAATCATGGAAATCGCCCACTAATAAGTTGCCCATATTTGCACAATTAGTAAATAGTATCAGGATTTGGACCTAAGTCCCTGTCATCTGAGCAGCAGTACTCTATACTCAAGTATCAGGACACAAAGCACAAAGGACTACCTGAGTTTTGTGGATCTTGAGAATCCAGATCTTCCCATCATTTTAGAAGAGGATGAACCAGACAAGGACTTCTAAGGAGCATCCACTGCCAACATTGGTTAGGAATATCTCCTTTCTAAAAGTAGGAAATGAAAAGAAACATATGCTCTGGAGGATCAGAAGGTAGTAGTGAAGAAAGTTTTAAAGACACAATGAGCATAACAGCACTGGAGAAAAATAACCTAGGATATTCTTGAATGTTTTCTACAGGTGTTGAGTTTTAATTCTAACTTAACTTAAACAGGTGACAGATATTTAAATACTATATCAATAGTGTAGGTGAAAATGCCATTTACTGATCATAAGCTGTTTTGGACCATTAGTTTCTCTCTTCAGGAGATGTTATAGTATGGATAACATGCTTATGATTTATGCCTTCCTTCAGTCTAAAGACTCAGAATTTTTTATTTTTCTATTCGGGGGGAACAAAATTATTGTTTTAAATACAACAAAAGCTCACATCTGCTCTTATATAAGCTGCAGGCTTTTCTGGCTGCCCCAGCTTTTCAAGGGATGCCTGAGAATGTGCATGCAAAGCCACACCCTTTCCTAGTTCAAACACTTCTGGTATTTCCATCAATCTCATCTTTGTCCTCAGTGGCTGCTCAGGAGCTCACTGTGGAGGAGATTATGTTGCTGCAATTTGGGATCTGAGTCAATGAAAATACCCTACTCATGCCTATGTATATAAAGACCCAGAGGGTTAGATAATGATAAATGGGTCTCCACCTACTAAATAACCATACCTAAGTTTTCGATCACTGCAATGTCCACTGCTAACGGTAAATATTATGTACTGATCTCTTAAACATACAGCAGTGCTGACTTGGAAAAAGAGAAATAGTTTCATCTGACCTGAACATATAAACACTCAGGATAAGCCTCAGCAGGAACACTGGTTTTAAGAGTTTTAGACGAGACTACACTAAGGCCAAAGACTCATTTCTGCACACTGCAAAGGCCAACTTCCCGTTTTATGTTCTCTACACAGCCATCCTTAACAAATGAAACCTGCTGGAGATTGCTTTCTGTTTCTGCAAAACAAAGTGTTAAAGCAGAAATAGTGTTCTGCTTTAGAATATGCCCAAGAAGAGGAGGAGATTAAGTCTCTCTTCTTGGATTTAAATCTGTCTTAAATCCATGGCCCATGCTGGTATGTACTTGGTATTTGGGGATTTCTTGCTGATGAATATAATATGGCCAAAGCCTTGCTTGGCTGCAAAGAGAAACCAGAGAAAAATAAAGATGTGCTTTAGTTGGTAACATATTGTGGGGTCAGGATGTTGTTCTAGTGACTCACTTGAAAAAAAAATGTGGTAGGAAAACTAAATTCAACCCATGACAAAGTGCTATGGCTTTTGCTTAACAATAATTCCAGCCAATTCACTGGCCAGGATTCTTTTTATATAGGCTGGGTCTGCATGATTCAAAACTACCCAGTACATTGAATTCTAAAATTTGCTTCAGTAGCCTGGCTATTTTGATTGTGAAATGTTAAACCTTAACAGAGCTACTTTGGACAAATATTACATGGAGCATTTATAATGACTGATTATTTTATTAATCAATAGCCTGATATTTTTAGATGCTTTGGTGTTTCATAGCCAGATTCAGAGAGGTTACTGCTCCTGGAACTCACTGCCCTATCCTCACTGTTTTTTGGCTTCTAGGTTAAACAAAACATTTCTCAACTACAATAGTTCAATTGTCACTGGGTGGAGGAGATGGGTGAGAGAGTGTAACTGACCATCTCTATTCCATGCTTTCTACCTCTGAGGCATTCTGCCACCACTTCATTTTGGTTTTTCTTCTTTAACCCCTCTTTATTAGAATATTTGTTGTAGTCTGATTTGTCTTTACATTATTAATTGTTCCATAACTATAATTCATGATATATGCATTCCTGCTTAAAGCCAAGTTTCCCACCTATGTTACCATCACAGGGAATGGTTTTTTCTTACCTCCTCACCTTTCAAGTATTATTTATACAATAAGGTACAGCTCAAAGCTATCTGCTTTACACAAACAAGTATGAATTATCTTTTGTTCCATGCAATGATGCCATTAGTTCTACCTTCATCATAGCACACTCTGCCTTTGTTAGAGTTCTTTGTGTCTACATCTGTGTCACCACTAAATCATTAGCTCCTTAAGTATTGGACTTCTGTTTAGCCAAAGGGGCCCATTCTTCTTCTATTTCATATCTCCATATCAAGTGGTTATTTACCTATAGTAGGTAAGTCAAATATTTAATTTAATGATGTTCACATCCTCCAAATAAATATACCAGATAACAAAGTGGTACAAGATTTGGGGGCTTGGGATGGGGGGCAGAACAGGGGAAGGAAGGAAAGAAAAGGGAGGAACAGTGTCAAATTGAAAATCCAACCTGATTTAACATCTAATATTAATTTTACTCATGCTGGCAAATTTCATAAGGAAAAAAACAAACACAATTGCTCTAGATTTTTAAATGTCTTATTTTTCCTTCAGTATATTTATTCAAAAACAAACAATATTTACTTTTCTCCAGATTAAAATATGAGTGTTTCTACTTGGCTTCCTTTTGGACAAATTGCTTCAGAACAAACTGATTGTGATAATAAAGTAAATCTCACTGTCCTGACCAACAACCCCATCCTTGGTTTTAAAACAATAATTTGATGACTAACTATTGCCTTTCCCTCAAAGAAATGAAGGGAGAAGACATGAGCCAGTGAATACTAATATAAAACAGCATCACCAGTTAAAATACAATTCCCATCAGTGTGGAAATGATTCTGAGTGGGTGGTTATTGCTACAAAAGAAAAGGACACACTCATAAATGAGCTACCTGTGACATGGAAGTAAAATTTTTTCATAATGTTTAAAGAGGTAGTACTATCCTACATGCATTTTTAAATAACACTCAATATTTGGGGGAAATTCAGGAAGCAATTTTTTTTTCAGTCAGCAATTGACCCACTGGAAATTTTATTTTCAGTTATGGGAAAGTTTATGATTCGTGATCTATATTGACAATGATGACATCCTTTCAAAAGACCAACCCTAGAGGTTCAATGGTTTTGTATTTTAAATAGAGATTTCACTGGCCCCACCATTTTTATTTTGTTTGATTATTAAAAAGAGTCCAGATACTTTACGTCGAGAGACATCACAGATTGTGGATCTTTGCTCTGTGCCAATACTGTACTTGAGATTTCTAACACTTAGCAATTTTCTCACATTGTGGTTGAGGTCATCTTAGAAAGACCTACATTTATATTTTCCCTTTGTAATGCAAAATCAATACTTGACTGGCTGAGAAAAAGGGAAGCATTCCATGTCAGACTGCTGACTGAAAATGCAAGCATGTAGGCAGCAAATCTTTGTATGTTATGGAAACACAGAAGCTAAAAAGTCCTTCTGATTACTCTCTTGTTAGAAACAGTAAATTTCTCCAGGTTTCAGTTTTTTTAAATCTCATCTTTCCGCACACCCTTTTATGAGGAGTTTCATAAAGAGCATGATAATTACCAGAAGAAAACCTATAGTATTCTTGCAACATTTTTCATAAGAATTTCCATCTAACTTTTTCACATGTTTTTTGCAAAGTCATTTTTTTCTGACTTTATTTTTTCTTGGGGGAGAGGGCAACAATAAGATAACCTAATAACATCACGATGTAATGGAAAATCAATGAAGTTCAACAATATGGCAAGGAGGACTATAAACAAAATTAAGTCTCTAGACTTTAGGATTCTCCTGAAAAGTTGTCTACAATTGGAAAGATTAAATTTTGGTTTGAGTGGACAAAAAACTAGCTGCATTTTTATTCAGCATAGCTTAAAGATGTAATCATGCATTTGAATGTATATGTTTTTTATAAAGGACAGCTGCACTCTTCCCCAGAGGGGACCTCCCCTTGCTGGCCATAGGACATGGCATTCTTAAAGTGCTTTCTTTCCCAGCATGCT